ACACTCCGTGCAAAACACTGGATAGCCCCCAACCCCCTGCTGGCATTCTGGCTTCATAATTCTTTTAAAATAAATAAATATAATCCCCCTTTTAAACCCTTGGTATTTATGTGGTTTTTGTTATCAAGAGTTCTGAGTCTAGGACCCAGGTTAAAACATGAAATGGCTGAGAGAGTGAGAGAGTCTGGCGAAGCAAGCTATGATGCAGCAGCAGCAGCAGCAGCAGAACTAGAAGCAGGAGATGGCCAGTTCCACTGCAGGCCTGATAGAAGCCCTCTGGGGGCCTGATCCGGCCCCCGGGCCACATGTTTGACACCCCTGCCATAGAGTCCACCCTCCAAAGCAGTCATTTTCTCCAGGAGAACACCAACCCCATCTACACATGTACAACATGAAGCTGCCTTATATTGAATCAGACCTTTGGTCCACCAATGTCAGCATTGTCTACTCAGATGGGCAGCAACTCTCCAGGGTCTCAGGTTGAGGTTTTGCACATCACATGATACTGGATCGAACCAGGGACCTTCCGCGCACAAAGCAGAGGCTCTTCCACTGAGCCACAGCCCCTCAGTATCAGGAAAAACACTGGCTTGAAATGCATGGAATTGCGATGTTTTATAATGTCACACAACCTTGTTGCTAACCTCCAGGTGGGGCCTGGAGACCTAGTGGAGTTGCAACTGATTTCCAGATGACAGAGATAAGCTCCCTTGGTGAAAATGGGCTGCTTTGGAGGGCAAACTCCATGGCATTATACCCTACCGAGGTCCCTCCCCTCCCCAAACCCCGCCCTTCCCACAGTCTACCACCAAATCACCAGGGACCCAGAGTTGGCAACCTTATGTTGATGGTAGATTTTGGGGGTAGGAGAAGAGCTGACTCGATCGGATGCACCTTAAGAGGGAAAAGAAACCACTGCCACAAACGGATACCTATCATCAAATTTATGGGAAAGTTCTGGTTGCTGGTGGGCCTGAAGAAAAGAGTCTTGTTCCTTTAGTGAGAGTTAGTCTGTGGAATGGACAGGTAAGGGCTTTTCAGGGCATGGAAGTCAAAAGCATCACCTGATAGATAATATCCCATTAAGCCCCTCTTACAGGGGCAGCACATTTCCCTTCAGACCCATTGGCACCCTTCCTATTAGCCAACCGAAGCTCCGTGCATCTAGAGCAAGATGGGTGGCCGTGTTAGTCTGTCTGCAGCAGCAGAAAAGAGTCCAGAAGCACCTTAAGGACTAGCAAAATTGGTGGCAGCAGTGGAGGAGCTTTCATGAGCCACTGCTCACTTCTACAGATATAGCGGGAATGGGAGTCCATCTGTCCTATATATTGGAGAGTGAAGTGATTCCAGATGCCGAATGACATTAGCAGGCAAATGACCAAATCCCATCAGCAACAGCTGAACCAATCACACCTGCTATTGTCATTTGTCTGATAATGTCACAGAGTCACACTGTACTCAATGATTCACAAAGTTACTTGGAAAAATTACTAGAGGCTGTGGACTATCCTACTGTGTCTAGCTTGATGAAACTAGGATCCTCCCGTGGCATTTTGCATGGTTTAGGTGGTGGTCAGACGGTGTTGTTTTAGCGCTGTTGACATGCCTCAAATATTACCGGTTTATTTATTCTGCAGTGACACAATCAGACACCCAGTGCTCACCCCACAGTCAGCCCTCCAGACACTCACCGGCGCGCGAGGTTTTTTTTTAAAAAATCCTCACTTGCGCATGCACATAAGTGTTTATTCATTGACTTCCATGTCCGCACACTGATGTGATGGGTGAATGCATTTGTGCGCCTATGCACATATCGCAGCTTTTAAAAAATGGTGCCATAAGTGAACATAAGTGAACCCCCGGTGAGGGGGTTCACTTTGTGCTGGAGTGATCAGACATCTGGAAATGCGCGGTGATAACAATAGCTTCCACAAAACACGGGCTTTCACCAGTGTCAGTAAAGTCAACAGTGACGCCGGAGAGGGGGGGGCAATGACTGCAATGCGGGATACCTCCTCTGATGTCTGAATGCACTTTTTTAAACCGGGTGTGGGGGGGGGGAGAAGTGGCAACACCAGATCAAGTAGCCCATCCGATCACACCCTAAATGTGTCACCTTGTTCTGGTTTGCTTCAGTTCCGTGTTTAGACTTCTGGCTGGATCTACAACCCTAATCCTATTTCAGTGTTTACTGGATGTCCCATCCTGTCGGTGGTATTGACTCACTCTGTGTAATCCGCCTTGAGTCCGAGTGAGAAAGGTGGGATATAAATAAACATCGATATAACAAAATAATCCACATACCACATTTACTCAAAAGGAAGGTGAACCTGAATGCACAATAACCCCTTGGGAGGGAAAAATAAACTATACACCAAGAAATGTATTTTTACTGGATATAACTAATTTCTATGCAAATGTAAGAGGACTCCCTGGTTGCTGTTGTTTTGTACTTTTGCATTTGTGTGTGTGTGTATCTGTACCTGTGTGTGTGTGTGCCCCTGCCCGGAAGTCATGGTGACCTTTGGCGACTCCTAATGGGGCACGGAGGACATTCAGAGACACGAATTGATAGCCTGCCCCTGCCTCCCAGCCCTGTTATTCTCTGGACGTCTCCCACCCAAATACTTGCCAGGGTCGGCCCTGCTTAGCTTCCGAGATCTGACGAGATCAACCTTGCCTGGGGCTATCCAGGTCAGGGCAACTCCCTGGATAAAAAGCTAGTCTTGCACTGGGGTAAACAGGAATTCTCTTGCTTGATAGGTTCAGAGGGCAGCCATGTCGGTCTGCAGGAGAACAGCTAGAGTCGAGTCCAGGAGGACGTCAGAGACCAACGAGAGCTTTGGAGCATAAGCTTTTGACAGTCAAAACCAGGGCTCTTTTTGTAGAAAAAGCCCAGCAGGAACTCATTAGCATAATAGGCCACACCCAACAGCAGGAACTCATTAGCATATTGGGCCACACCCCTGACAGCACAGCTCATTAGCACATTAGGCCACACCCCCATGTTACCAGAAGTGTGGTCATCCAGCCACACCCACCTTTTGCTTGTTATTCTGTTGACCTTGTTTGTTGTCAAAACCAGGGCTTTTTTTGTAGCAGGAACTCTTTTGTATGTTAGGCCACACACCCCTAATGTAGCCAATCCTAATGAGTTTCTGCTGTTGGGTGTGGCCTGTTATGCTAATGAGTTCCTGCTGGGCGTGGCCAACTTGGGAGCCAGCCGGAACTCCGTTCCTGTGCGTTCCTGCCCCCAAATAGCCCTGGCTCCCTCTAAGCTGTGGAGTCTTGTGAGCAAAAATTCTACTTGGTGAGCTCCTGGCATTAAAGTTGTGAGCGTGCGATTTGTCTGCTGCATGAATTAGTTTGCCTCTGGTGCCCTCCTTCCTGAGCTAAGGCAAAAATGTGTGGGCCGGAGGCTAAAAATCTGTGAGCTAGCTCACGCCAACTCAGCTTAGAGGGAACACTGAAAGCTCCCTGGACCTGAATCTAGCTGTTCTTGCTTGACAGGCTGTTTCCATTTCAATATTGTGCATGTAAAAAATGAAGAAGAAGCCAAAGAAGAAGCTGCAGAAGATGACGATGATGATGAAGAGGAGGAGGAGGAAGAGGAGGATTTATACCCCTCCCTTCACTACCCAAAAGAGTCTCAGAGCGGCTTACAAACTCCTTTCCCTTCCCCTCCCCACCACGGACACCCTGTGAGGTAGGTGGGGCTGAGAGAGCTCTCTCGAGAACTGCCCATGAGAGAACAGCTCTGAAAGAACTTGTGACTGACCCAAGGTCACACCAGTGGCTGCAAGTGGAGGAGAGGGGAATCAAACCCGATTCTCCAGATTAGAGTCCGCGCTCTTAAGCACTACACCAAACTAGCTCTTACTGAGGCACTGACTGTAGCTGGATGACACGACTTTGGCTAGAGTTGGTTTGTTCATGCAAGGTCCCCTGGCTTGTAGCTGCCTTGAGAAAATACATAAAAATTATTAGAGAGAGAGAGAGAGCTAAATTGAGTAAAGATAAGCCCTTTCAAGGAGAGAGGCCTTTATTGTTTCCATCACGTCTGAAAAGCGAGCAACAGTGTTTTGGTGACAGCTGGAGCTGGAAGGGCTGTAGGTACTGGATTTTGGTTTCATGCACACCCGAGGGTATTCTTCGGCCGTTCAACAATCAACACAGACCCACTGATGTAACAGAGTAACAGCAGCAGTAATCGTAATACCACCCCCCATAACCTAGCACTGATGCATCTCTTTCCGTGTCCAAAGCACTTCAGAAATATTATCATGGTACAACCCAGACAACAGCCCTGCAAGGTAGGCCAGCACTATCATACCGCAGAGGCCAAAGGGGCTTAAACAGGGCCATCCAGTGAGCTTATAGCAAGAGTGAGGTTTGAACTAGGGACCACCTGGATCACAGCTCATTCTCTTGACCAACACGCCACATCAGCTCCCTAGGAAAAAGAAGGATATGGACGTCACGTACTTAGGTATTCACACCCTGCTTCTCTCTCCAGTGGGCACCCAAAGTGGGTTCCGTTGTTCTCTCTTCAATTAATCCTCGCAATGACCCAGTGAGGTAGGTGAGGCCAAGAACACGCATGACTGGCCCGAGATCACCCAAGCGAACTTCCATGGCGACGTGGGCCCGCCGCACTCCGCTGCGCCCCACCGCCCGCCGCGGTTCAATCCCAGGTCTCCCAGATCCGAGTCCAGCACTTTAACCACAAAATCCGCACTTTGTCATTGTTCCCAGGCCTTCGAGAGATCAGTTGAAATAAAATCAAAATGAAATAAATAGGAAATCACAATGAGGGACGCAGCACATCCTTGTGAGGGAACTGGGAAAAATAGGCTACTCCGGCGGCAGACGGCATCCTTTTCTACCCCAGCGTGTCCAGTCATGCTTTTGTACAAAAGACCTGCAGCCCAAGCTGTGGCTGTTCAAACCTTTTCGTTCCCGCCCCTTCCCAGCCTGGTCTACTCAACTCCCTGCCTTACATTCTTCCCCGTCTCCAGAAACCTCCTGCCGATGCCCGCTCTGATGTTTTCTGACCAGCCACCGCACCAACTTTCCCCTGTAACGGACCTGCATTACCATCAGGGCAGCTGAACCACGCAGGTTGAATGTTTGTGCACATTCCGTGCAGTCAGATCCCAGCCACACCAGCTTTCCCTTTTAACAGACCTGCACTACTGTGCCTTCCCCACCGGCTTGCGCAGCTCGGCTTTTGAATCGGAACCAACTGGGCACAACAGACGAGACGCAAACACGGCCGCGCCCCCCTGGCCCGCTACAGGTTGTCTCGCAGGTGGATCTTCTTGTGTTTTGTAAGCGCCGGTCTCTCCCGGAAACTCCTCTCGCACACCAAACACTTGTACGGTTTCTCTCCCGTGTGGATCCGCAGGTGTGCCATGAGCAGTGCCGTGCGCGTGAAGCTTTTCCCACAGACCGAGCACGTGTAGGGCTTCTCCCCCGTGTGGACCCGCCGGTGCACGATGAGGTTCGAGTGCTGGCTGAAACCCTTCCCACAGTCCGAGCAAGTGTAGGGCTTCTCACCAGTGTGGGACCTCACGTGGTCTGTCAGAGCGGAGCTGCGGTGGAAGCTCTTCCCGCACTCGAGGCACTTGTAGGGCTTCTCGCCCAGATGGATCTTTTCGTGCTGGTGCAGGCCGGAGCTCCAGATGAAGCTCTTGCTGCAGAAGGAACAGGAGTAGGCTTTCTCCCCCGTGTGGATTCTCTGGTGTCCGAGCAGGCAGGAGCCCTGGGTGAAGCTCTTCCCGCAATCCAGGCACTTGTAGGGCTTCTCCCCTGTGTGGATTCTCAAGTGCCGGTTGAGGTGCGAGAGCTGGTGGAAACGTTTCCCGCACTCCATGCACTTGTGCGGTTTCAGCCCAGGGGGAGTTTTTTCACAGGCACTAACGTCGGAACTCGAACCAAAGACTCCCCTGCGATCTTCCGACGGTTCCTTTTTCTTAGGGCTGTCCACCTTAGAAACGGCTGTGTTTTTCCTGGCCAGCACCTCACTGTCTGCAGGAATGATAAGACAATTATCACTCGGAGGGAGTTCCAGCTGGATGTGACCCAGTCTTATTTATTTATTTAGCCAGGGAACAAAAAGCACGTTTTAAATCTATGTACAGACTTCCCTCTCTCCCAGAAGGGGGGGAGGGAGTGCACATGTTCTTGCTGCTGGCTGAACCCCTTTTTTGCTTCTCCCTCCTTTTGGCTCTCTACTATCACACCATAGGCGTAATCTTTGTGGGGGCGGCGGGGCTTCAGCCCCCGCCGAAATTTTCAGGAAGGTACTCAGCCTCCCCCGGGAGCCACCCTTGCTCCTAGCAAAGCAATGCCTCTGGCCCAGCCCCAGCCCCCCCCCCCCCCGGGAAATTGGAAAGTCTACACCCTTGTATCACTCATTTGTTAAAAATTCTGGGCAAGGTGGGGGGATTGGCTATCCCTCATGCCAATCATAAGGCCACCTCCTTCCCACATTTCCATCTGGCTGTGCAGGCTGTGGATTGCCACAAGGGACAATCAATCAGCGCTCTGCATGGCCAGAAGGGAGGTGGGAGGGAGAAGGCTTCATGATTGTCACAAGGGACAATCAGCACTCCAAACAGCCAGATGGGGAGATGGGAGGGAGGTGGTTTCATAATTGTCATGAGGAACAGTCAATCAGGACTCTGAACAGCCAGATGGGGAGGTGGGAAGGAGGTGGCTTCATGATTGTCACAAGGGATAGCCAGTCAGCACTCTCATCAGCCAGATGGGAGGCGGGGAGGCAGTTTCATGACTGTCACAAGGGCTAGCCAATCAGCCCTCTCAACAGCCAGATGGAAGGTGGGAAGGAGAGCAGCTTACAATCTCCTTCCCTTTCCCTCCCCACAACAGACACCCTGTGAGGTAGGTGGTGCTAACAGAGCTCTCTCAAGAACCGCCCTTGAGAGAACAGCTCTGAAAGAACTTGTGACTGACCCAAGGTCACACCAGCAGCTGCACGCCGAGGAGTGGGGAATCAAACCCGGTTCTCCCCGACTAGAGTCCGCGCTCCTAACCAGCATACCAAACTGGCTCTATTTGTTTTCTATTTATTGTTAGGTTAGTCACATTTTTAATGTCACTGTGTAACCTGCCCTGAGCCCGCTTGCAGGGAGGGTGGGATAGAAACTGAAGTAATAAATAAAGAAGTCGAAATTCTAGCCTTAAGTTGACAGGCTTTAGGTCAGCTCTTTAAGCTGATTACTTCCTTCATAATATCAGTGTTCCAACACATTGGTCTAAGTCTATTATGATTCTGGTTTAACTGAAGAGGAATGGCAGATTGAAGAAAATGGCACTGTGAAGTATTTAATATCAACTGCAAAGGGAAACGATAATTATTTTACTAACTGCTATTATTGATTGTCCATCTGAGGTATGCCCTTCACGGTCCTGCAATGTGTGCTGCGCAGGGGTGACATGTACACCATTTCAAATAAAGTCAATAATAAAGAAACTCCGAGGCACCACAAAGCCTTACCCAACAAAGTGGGATCCGCACTGCTCTCTTGCGTCTCCCTTTTGGAGCTGACAAGCGGAGCGGCCTTCGTTTTGGAGGAATACAGGCCCACCTCCGCCAACAGCCCAGAGACCTGAGAGAGAATGAAAACCTGGATCAGAACCCGATCAGAACATCGTGGTGGGCCCCACGCTGACTGGAAGCAAAGCAGAAGGTCTCCGGTTCAACCCGACCTCGGAAGGTCTCTCCCATAGGAGACTGTCCACCAGTGACTCCCCCCCCAGTCAGCTCCCGCTTGCGGAACCACCCTCACTGAAGTGTCCGGTCTTCCTCTGTCTCAGGCCTGGATTCCTCTCTGACCACGTGGAATGGCTTCCAGTGGAGCAGGCTGGGGGGGTGCTGTCTCTTCTGGGTTTTTTGGAAGGAGAAATAAAGCAGAGGCGGGCAACCAAGATGATGAGGGGGGTTGAGCACCTTCCGTGTGAGGAAAGGCTGAAGAGTCCGGGACTTTTCAGTTTAGAAAAGAGGCTACATGAGAGCGGCTTATAAGATTATGCATGGGGTGGAGGGCGTGGACAAGGAGACATTTTTCTCCTGCTCCCAAAATACTAGCCCTCAAAGGCATCCAATGAAGCCGAGGGGGCTGTAGGTGCAGGACGGAGAAAAGGAAATACTTCTTTTACACAGAGAGCGATTAATGTGGAATTCGCTGCCAGAGGATGTCGTGAGGGCCACAGGCATTAGACAGCTTTAAAAGGGGATTAGACAGATTCATGGAGGGTAATAGCCATGGTGACTGAGGGGAACCCCTCACATAATCCTCTGAATCCCAGAGCCAGGCGGCAACATCCGGGGAAGGCCTCGGCCTCTATGCCCTGTTGTTGGCCCTCCAGAGGAACTGATTGGCTGCTGTGTGAGGCAGGATGCTGAACTAGGTGGACTATTGGTCTGATTCAGCAGATCTCCCGGCCCTGACCTGGACGGCCCAGGCTAGCCTGATCTCGTCAGATCTCAGCCGCTTAGTATTTGGGTGGGAGGCCACCAAGGAAGTCCAGGGTTTCGACGCAGAGGCAGGCGATGGCAAACCACTGCTGAGCATCTCTTGCCTCGAAAACCCCATAAGGGGTCTCCAGGAGTCGGCAGCGACTTGACCGCAGTTGACACACATACACTGCACAAGACCTCCCAAATGGTGAGGCCGAGGATCGAACCTGGGACCTTCCGCAGTGCTCTTATCACGGATGCATTTTTGTTTTGCTTATTTTTACTTATATCCCACTTTGCTTCCCGATCTGGACTCAATACGGCTTAGAATACTGTTCCCCTCGCCTCCATTTCCCCACAACCACCACCTTGTAAGGTAGGTGACGAGCCCGAGAGAGGAGGTGATGAGCCCAAGGTCACCCAACAAACCCCCATGACAGAGATGGGGATACAACCCCAGGTCTCCCATGATCCTAGACAGGCACTCTGCCCATTACACCACACCAGCTCTCCCATCGCACCACAGCCACTGTAAGCTAGGAAGCTGTTCAGGCCTCCCAAAGGTACACACCTGGCATCCTGTCAGGCTTGCGCACTCCCTCTCTCCTCCCCTCCTGAGGTCTTTCCACACGTTAAAAAAAAAAAAATCTGGACACCTTGGATAGCCCAAAAGAGGGAAAACTGCCATGTGCAAATAGCCCTGATTTCAGAAGTCTTCACCTTGCTGTGGCCATCTAAATGTCATGACACCATCCCCACGAGGGCTCTTTTTGGAGCAGGTACTCATTTGCATATTAAGCGACACACCCCTAATGTAGCCAATCCTCCAAGAGCTTACAGTAGCTCCTGTAAGAAGAGCTCTGTAAGCTCTTGGAGGATAGGCTACATTAGGGGGGTGTGGCCTAATATGCAAAGGAGTTCCTGCTACAAAAAGAGCCCTGCCGGCGGGCCACAACCAATGCTCCCTCTAAGCTGTGGAGTCTTCTGAGCAAAAATTCTACTTTGTGAGCTACTGCCATTAAAGATGTGAGCAAGCAATTTGGCTCCTGCATAAATTAGTTTGCTCTGAAACCATCCTTCCTGAGCTAAGACAAAAATGTCTGAGCTGGACCCTTAAAAATCTGTGAGCTCGCTCACACTAACTCAGCTTAGAGGGAACACTGCCCACGGCCCAGGACTCCACATCCTGCTCCCACAGTCTTCTCTCTTGAAGCTAGGGTTGCTAATCTCCAGTTCAGTGTAGTGGTTAAGAGTGGCAGACTCTAATTTGGAGAACCGGGTTTGATTCCCCACTCCTCCACACACAGCCAGCTGGGTGACCATGGGTCAGTCACAGTTCTCTGAGAGCTGTTCTCTCAAGACCAGTTCTCTCAGAGCTCTTTCAGCCCCACCTACCTCACAGGGCGTCCGTTGTGGGGGGAGGAAGGGAAACGTGATCGTAAGCTACTCTGAGACTCCTTCGGGTAGTGAAAAGCAGGGTAGAAAAACCAACCCTTCTTTCAGGTGTGTCCTGGAGAGTTCCCAGAACGACAACTGATCTCCAGGTGACAGGGATCAGTTCCTCTGGAGAAAATGGCAGCTTTGGAGGGTGGACTCTATGGCATCACACACCACTGAGGTCCCTCTCCTCTCCTCCCCATGGCTCTACCCCCTAAATAGGGTTACCAAACGCCGGCGGAGGGAATCGATTTCCTGGCTGGATGTATGCTGCAGGGGACGGCTGCGCGTGCTGCACCCGCCGTCGCCAGGATGTGACGCTCCGCGTTACTCTGGCAACGGGGCTGTTTGGAGTCCCGTTGCCAGAGTGACGCAGAGCGTCACATCCTGGCGACGGCGGGGGCACCGCGTATCGCCGTCCCCCGCGGCACACATCCCGCCAGGAAATAGATTCCCCCCGCCGGCGTTTGGTAAGCCTGCCCCTAAATTTGCAAGAATTTCCCAACCCAGAGCTGACAACTCTACTTGAGGCTCTGAGTCACAGCCAGCCACTACCTCTTTTGTTTTAGAAAAGCTGGAAAGGATTCAGATGGTGGCCACAATCCTCCCAGCCTCTCCTAAACTAGTCATCCACTTGTGTGTGTGTGTGTGTGTGTGTTCAAGCTCCAGAAATCTTTCACAAATGGAGGGTGGGGTGGGGTGGGGAGATGAGGCAGGGAAGCCTCACCACTTTCTCCATATGTTGTAAGGGCAACATGGACTCATAGCTCCCCTCTCCTTCCGCAAGAGGCTCAGAGAGGTCACAGGCCAGTCTCAGGGGCTCCTCCTGCCGCTGCAAGAAGTCCTCGGCCAAGGCCACCGCCTGAGCGCAGGTCTCTGGGCCCCCTTCCTTCACCCAGTTCTGGATTTCCTGGGGCAGGACAGTCAGGAACTGCTCCAGGATCAGCAGCTCCAGGATCTGCTCCTTCGTCCTCCTCTCGGGCTTCAGCCACTGATAGCAGAGGAACCAGAGGCGGCTGCACACCTCCCGCGGACCCTCGGCCTCCAGATAGCAGAACCGCCGGAAGCGCTGGCGGCGGGTCTCCACACTGACAGTCTCTTCCTCGCCTGTCTCGTCTTTGGAAAACACCCTGCCATCCGTCTCCGGGCCGGAACGGAGCTGGGCCAGCCGTTCTCCTGTGGGCTGATGGCTGGAGCTAGTGGCTCCTTCAAATGGTGGTGGGCAAGGCCCAGCTTGGTCCCATGGGGAGGGATCTGTGATCCGTGGGTTCCCCCATCCCGTGTGAAAGGACTGCAGCTCCTTCGGGAAATCCTGCCACCGGGTTTCCCAAGGTTGTGCCAACCTCTCCTCAGCTTCCTCTTTGATTTGCGGAGGTGTCAATTTGTCTGGAAGTTCCCCTATATTCCTGTTCTGGATGCTGCGAGGAGTTTCTTTCGCTCCCTCAGCGTCTTCCTCTGGTTTGGGTCTCACCAAGCCCTGTTCTTCTGTTTGCCCTCTAGGCTGGAGTCTGACTTGGAACAGCGGGACTGAATTTCCCACAGTCTCTTGCTCGGCAGCCATTTTCTCTCTCAGGCTCAGGGAGGCCTGCTTGTAGTGAAGGGCCTCGGTCTCTGTAGGTGTTGGTCCCTGTCTCTCAACCTTTAGGGACAATCTTCTCTCAGGGCTTCTCCTCGAACCCTGATGGAAACTGGGCTTCCAACCAGGATTCAAGTCTTCTCAAAGATATTCCACGGAAGTGCAATGTTTAAATAAAACAGGCATTAAACAGGTGGCAGCAGAGACTTGCATGAGGGATGTCACCCTACAGGAAAGAGACACACACAGGAATGACATAAAACACATAGAAACAGACTCTTAGGAAAACAGGTGCTGGGGAAACAAATCCTGAATTTGGTGACAGGCAAGGACTTAAGCTTAGTTTTTCGGTCTCCCTATCCCATTTATACAATCTCATGACACAGGGGAAAATAATATTTTATTTCCTAAATGATATAAAGAGAGCCTATATAGCTATTTGGCACATTTTAGTACATCCTTTTCCCAAGCAGCTCTGGCTGACATACATGGTTCTCCCTTTCCCCTTTCTATCCTCACAACATCCCCGCGAGGTAGGTTACACTAAGTGGCCGAAGGTCAGCCAGCAATCTTTGTGAATGGTTAGGATTTGGGAGGGCTTCTGGCCCTGCTGGTGGACCTCCTGATGGCCCCTGGGTTTTGGCCCCCGTGTGACACACACTGTTGGACTGGATGGGCCACTGGCCTTATCCAACACATGGTTTCTCTTTGTTCTTTTGAACCTAGATCTCACAGATCGTAGTCTGGCATTCTACCCACCGAACTACAATTCTGGTTTACCTCTTTTCTCCCCCTGCCCACCTTTGGAAGAGAAGATACCTGTAACTGCTAGTTGCCCCTGCCTTCTGTGGCTAGGCAGATGGTAACCTGAGACAGGGCCTTCTTCGTCTTGGTACCAAAACTCTGGAGCTTCCTGCCCAAGGATATTTGTCTGACCCCTTCTATCACTGTCTTCCACCAGTAGGTGAAGACTCCCCCCCCCCCCCCGTTTTGTCTGGCTTTCCCTCAGCAACACCTCCTTTTCACTCTACACTTTAAACATCATCTCTACATCTTTACATATGTATGTATGTCTGGGTTTTAACTGGATTTCTTATCAGTTTTTATGCTCTGTTTTAATTGTTAGCCATCTTGGTGGCTCTGATTGGGGGGAGAGGTGGCATGTATATGTCGTAAATCAGTAAATGAAATTCTGTCCAAGCAGGTTCATTTGTGGCCCCCTCGGCTTCTGAGACTCCATAAGACACAGCCTTGCTCTCCAACCTGTCTTCATGAGCAAAAGGTCTAGAAGCCAGCATTGCATAGTGGTTTAAAGCAGGGCTATTTTTGGGCAGGAACGCACAGGCAAGGAGTTCCGGCTGGCTCCTGAGTTGGCCACACCCAGCAGGAACTCATTAGCATAATAGGCCACACCTAACAGCAGAAACTCAGTAGGATTGGCTACATTAGGGGTGTGTGGCCTAACATGCAAAGAAGTTCCTGCTACAAAAAAGCCCAGGGTTTTGACAACAAAGTACCGTATTTTTCAGACCATAAGACGCACCTGACCATAAGACACACCTAGTTTTTAGAGGAGGAAAACAGGGAAAAAAATATTCTGAACCCTGGGGCTCAGTATTCGGTCCATAAGACGCACACACTTTTCCCCTCACTTTTTTTGGAAGAAAAAGTGCGTCTTATGGTCCAAAAAATACGGTAAACAGAATAAGAAGCAAAAGGTGGGTGTGGCTGGATGACCACACTTCTGGTAACATGGGGGTGTGGCTTAATATGCTAATGAGTTCCTGCTGTTGGGTGTGGCCTATTATGCTAATGAGTTCCTGCTGGGCTTTTTCTACAAAAAAAGCCCTGGTTTAAAGGTCCCCATTGGGGAGAAAGGGGGATTATAAATAAAGTAAAATTTATTTATTTATTTATACTTATATTTATACCCCGCCCGCCCTGTAAACAGGCTCTGGGCGGCTTACAGAAGACGGCAACGTATGCCGAATTAGCATAAAACCATAAAACATTACAATAATATAAAATATTCTTAGCATTACAACAATAACATTTAAAGTGCTTGCAGTATTAACATAGATGGCGTGATTTTTCATTCCGGCAATCTCCTGATCTTACGGCCAGTCCCATGGTCAAGATATTAAATGGTGTAATCCATAGTCCATAGTGGACCAGTCCCATATTCCATATGTTCAATGGAATAGTTGGTGGTTACAGTGGTGGCGATGGCGGCTCCTATTTGAAAGCCTGGCGGAAGAGCTTTGTCTTGCAGGCCCTGCGGAACTGTACAAGGTCCTGCAGGGCCCTGATCTCTTCCGGGAGCTCGTTCCACCAGTAAGGAGCCACCACTGAAAACACCCTGGCCCTGGTGACGGCAAGCCTCCCATCCTTGGGGCCAGGAATAGTTAAACGCTGTTGTGGCCCAAACCGTAGTGCTCTCTGGGGTATAAATGGGGAAAGGCGGTCCCTCAGGTAAAAATAAAATCATATTTTTAAAAATAAAAATTGAGTTCTCTGTGTGCAAAGAATGTTTTCATACGGAGAAGGAAATGAGCTCCTACCTGCAGCTGTAAATGGTATGACTGAGACTTTGATCCTGCAGAGCATCAGAATTTAAAAAAACAGAACAAAACAAAAACCCAAGAAAAAAATCACAGGTGCAAATTCTGGCTTTGCTGCTTCCAGAAAGCTGAATGAATTAACGTTTCTACATTAACTGAGCTCCGCTTACACTATCATTAGCTCCACTTTGATGCAACATGGCCAGATGTTGAAAAATTGTATAGGGAAAGGTGAACCCACATTTATACAAAGGACAGAGGAGAGAGAGAAGAACAATAACAACCCCCCCCCCCCCAAAAAGGTAGGAAATTGTAACCTCTTTCTCAAAGCTACGTGTGCCCTAGCCTGGCTAAAATAAAGAATAATAATACAGATGTAAAGAATAAAGGTCATGCATTTTTAAAAAATGGAACTCTATCCATTTTGCCTTATTGAAAATGCCTGGCTGTGTTTGCTATCTTTAAAAACGTGATTCTCCCCATAACGGGACATTTTAGATCTCCCAACTCAGACCCCAACACCCCAACCCTTAAAGGCCCTCCCCCCATTCAACTCACCCCGGCTGCTGCAAACACTTGCAATGCAACAATAGCTGCCCAGCAGAAGCTTAACTGGGAACCAAAGCAGGAAGGGGCTTCACATTGTTTACCGTCCCCTCCCCAACACCTCTCAAAGTTCGGGAGCCTGTCTGCAAAGGAGTTCTCTATGACTTTAACCCTTGGAAGCAAAAGTGGCAAGCTTGCGGCACCTAGAAAGCAAACAGATTGGGACAGAAAACTTCTAAGGGGAGGAAGGACCAGTCATTTTCTTTTCTTTCCCCTGAGTGTTATTCCCGATTGCAAGCTGCTTAGGGCAGGAAACCATCTTGAGCCCTTTCCTCTGTTGGCTCCCCTAAATCCAGTTTAAGATTGCAATTGCAAACTCTTTGGGGGCAGGGACCATTGTTCCCTCTAAGCTGAGTGAGTGTGAGCCAGCTCACAGTTTTTTAGCCTCCAGCTCACACATTTTCGTCTCAGCTCAGGAAGGAGGGCTCCAGAGCACACTAATTTCTGCAGTAGCCAAATTGCTCACTCACAACTTTCATACCGGTAGCTCACAAAGTAGGAGTTTTGCTCACAAAACTTCACAGCTTAGAGGGAACATTGGCAGGGACCTGTCTTTCTCCATTCCTTCTGTTGCCTTCTCCCTCCGGGAGAGAACGGAGTTCGGGGAGGGGAGGGGGTCTCAGCATGGTACACTGCCATAGAGTCTACCCTTCAAAGTAGCCATTTCCTCCAGGGGAACGGATCTCTGTCAGCTGGAGATCAATTGTAAAAGCGGGAGATCTCCAGGCCCCACCTGGAGGCTGGCAACCCTACTTCCCGAGTTCCATTTAAGTCGGGCTGCCAACCTCTAGGTCCATTGCCTCCCCAAACCATGCCCTCCCAGGTTCCTCCCCCAGATCTCCCAGAGATTTCCAGTCCAGAGTTGGCAACCCTGTCTTTCTCCCTTCCCTTTTTTGCATCCCTGGAATTCTATTATTATTATTGTTATTTTTTATTTTATTTTAAATATCTTTATTTATATCATTTTCTCAAGTATAACATGTTGTTATTGTTATTATTGTTATTCTTCGTATGACAGAGTTATGCACAGGAAGCATATAATAATATAAATGTAAAATACATAACCTAGTTGATACAATGGATATGCAGGCCGATTGGAGAATCCCCCTAAATACTACAATCTAGATTTTCAATCCATTCAGTTGCAGCTGGGGAGAGTTCAAAGAGCTCCATCACATCTCCCTGGAAAGCATGACGCTCACATTCCTGTGAAAGACGGAAAATAGTTTGGCGGGCTGCACCCATTTAAACAATAGGTCTGCACAGCTGCCAAAGCCTGTTTGTATTCTATTGGCCATACAATTATAGCTCAACTCCTTGTGGTGCACCCTGGATAGTGCTAAAGAGCTAGAACTTCTGGCTGCCAGACAATCGTAGGATCTCCTGGATACGCTACACACATGGAGTCCAATTGTAGACTGTAAACTCCATGTGGCAAGGACTGACCTGGCCAGTTTGGTGTAGTGGTTAGGAGTGCGGACTCTGGAGAACTGGTCCGCGTTTGATTCCCCGCTCCTCCGCATGCAGCCAGCTGGGTGACCTTGCTCAGTCACAAGTTCTCTCAAAGCGGTTCTCTCAAGAGCAGTCCCTGAAAGAGCTCTCTCAGCCCCACCTTCCTCACAGAGTATCTGTTGTGGGGAGAGGAAGGGAAGGAGATTGTAAACCGCTCTCAGACTCTGAAGTTCCGGGTATAAATGGTTTGCATCTCTCTTTTGTCTGTTGGAATGACTTTGGTACAGAAATTCAACCACTGTAGATTCTCAGCAGAGGGCTATTTGTTGTAGAAAAGCTAAACCGGGTGGAGTTCTGCCTGCTGTT